CTCCCCCTCCCGCTCCTTCCTTCCCTCTCTCCCCCTCTACTGTTGTGACATGCCCCGGCCACATTCCGGCCGCAAGCGCCAGCAGTGTAACTTGAAACTTTGGAATTTCTTTAAAAATAAAAAATTGCACTGGGCCGCATTACGAGCTGACCTGGGCCGCATGCGGCCCTCGGGCCGCGGGCTGGACAAGCCTGCTTAGAGAGTCAATCTCTTATTTCATCTCCCTCTTTTCCTGATGTCTTTGAACTTTATACATGATGTTGTTTTTCTAATAATGGGCATCATAAATGGATTCTCGGCATATGACAATTTGTTATAATGCCTCTTACTAGAAAACATGACATTATACTGTACAGTGTTTTAGGTCTCCAGAGGAAGAGATGTATAAATGAGGTCCATAAACCTGACCTCAAAGCTAGTTATGCAATCAAAATGCTAACAAGGGTATTTAAAATCAAAAGGTGCCTTTTCTCTGTGTGTGCATACATACACACAGACAAACACATATGCATGCACCTAGGGGCTAATGAGCCAAACTAATATTTAAGGGTTTCACATGACAAATATCAACAGGATCCATGCCCCATGCTAATAAATGCACTTACCGGATCTTGAGAAACTAGCACAGGCTGGCAAACCAGCGGAGCCTTCATTTCAAAAAACTTCAGCCAGTGGTTCACATCCTCCTCTGTATTCAAGGGACAGGCTGAAAATTCAGAAGGCTGTAATAGGAATGTTACTGCATTTGAATAATGATGATGAAGAAGCAATAGAAAGAATGTTAAGTTAGCATCACTGCAGTCACCCTCGATTCTTAGCAAAGAGTCTGTCGCACCAGGCTTGCAAATGACACAGCTCCCATTATTTCCACAGTTCATTGTCTTTTACACACACACACACGCACGCACACACACACCCAACATGGAAAAAGACTGTTTCCATCCCCCCAAAACTAGCTAATTAAACACGCACACGCACCTAACATGGAAAAAGACTTGTTTCCATCCCCCCAAAACTAGCTAATTAGAATGCTATAGGTCTTTAGTGACATCATACAGAGGAGATGGGCGATCCTATTAAAGGGAAGAAAAATTTGGTTGAATATCAGGAAAAACTTTCTACCTGTTAGAGCAGTACAGCAATGGAATCAATTATCTTGCGTTCTCCAACATTGGAGGCATTCAAGAGAAATATAGACAACCACTTCGTAGATATGCTTTGATTTGAATTCCTGCAATGAGCAGGGAGTTGGACTTGGCCTTTTAGGGCCCTTCCACCTCCATTATTCCATGATTCTAAGTAGGGGGACAGAAGTCACCAGATCCTGCACCCAGAATTTACTGAGACCCAAATCACCCAGCGACTAAATGCCAGTCTTGCAGGGCAAGCCCTCCCAATGAGGCAAAACTGTCTCAGGCTGAATATTCAGAGTATAAAAAAGGAGAACAAAATTAAGTCCTTTAATCCTTTACAATTGCGTTGGTTTATTGTCAGGTCTAGGGAGGGAGATTTCTGGGATTCCCTGTCTGATGTGGTTTCATGGCATGGGACTTGGGAGACTGGGGTTTAAGTCCTCACTCAGCCATGATGCTCACTGGGTGGCCTTTTGACAAGAAACCCTCATCAGCCTGACCTACATCAGAGGGTTGTTGTGAAGATGAAGTATGGAGGAAGAAAAGCCATGTACACTTTTTTGAGTGGGGACTTAGAATGTGCTTCTCTTATGTTCCAGTCCAGCCACTACAACACACTGGCCACCTTTACCTTGGCTTGTTATGTGTCACAAAGTTGCTTCTGACTTAATGGCACCCACATGAACCTCCAAGAGGTTCTATCACTAACAATTCTGCTCAGGTCCTGCAAACTCATGGGCTGTGGCTTCCTTTAATGAGTCAGTCCATCTACTATTTGGGCAACCTCTTTTCCTGCTGCCTTCACCTAGATCCCCACGAGTCAATCCATCTACTATTTGGGCAACCACTTTTCCTGCTGCCTTCACCTAGATCCCCACCCCCACCCCCAACATTTCAGTGAATGGGGCATCTGAAAGAAAACAATTTTTATCAAAGACTAACTTACCATAACATGTATTTTTGCTTTTCCCTTCTGGATAACAAATGTACCACCCATCCCAACCGGTTTGTCACCATAATATTTTTCTAAGGTTTTCCTGATGCAGGATATGAAGTTCTGCTCGCCAGTTCTCCTATTCGCTCTCACTTCAATCACCTTTAAAAAAAAACCAGAAACTCTTTTGTATCATTTTAAAGACCTGATATTAGGACCCTTATTCTTTAACTGGTTGGGCATCTTTGGAAAGTATCATCCAAAAATGTAGCATTCCATAGCTCCGAAACCAAGCAGAATGATAGTAGAAAGAAGCTTCCTTCGTTTCCTTCGCCCGCGCTGCTCCCCTCTACAAGACTAGCCATTTTTAAGAAGGCTAGTAAGTTTGGGAGCTTGTTTATTCAAGCCAATGAAAATACCCACCTTTCCAGGAAGGCCTTCACTGGCATACAGGTTGGCCAAAAGTCCAAATTCGCAGTCCTTATCTTTGGACTTGTATTTCTCCAGCAAGCACCCTCCATCCTCCGGATTAATCTTGGCAACGTAACTCTCGTTGACAGCAGCTTTTCCCTCATTTTTAGCTAGAACAACAGGAATAAGCTAGAAGGGTAGGGATGGGTGTGGTGGAGTGGAAAATGCACATGAATTGATCAGTTCTATTTATCCATCTTCACAGTCGGTGAACAAATTAAAAGGGGATAAGGGAGAGCAAAAGCACACTTCAGATTATGGCCTCATCCCAAAGGCAGAGAAAGCAAGCCAGAAGAATTCAGGGATACCCAAATACTATTGAGACACAGTAGCATTTATCAGATCATATTCTACTCAAATATCCAGCACATTATTCCCTTCGGAAACTCTTTTTTAGATCATTGGTTGATTCCCTTCTCGGACTTTTTTCCCCTGACCTTCTCCCTATTTTTTTAAGTGACCGCTGTGCTTCCCTCAACGGGGCGGTGGCTAATTATCTAGCTGTAATTATGAAACTCACTGTTGCCGCATAACGTAGAACTTTACCCCATTCCCTGGGTATTATGTATTACTTTTCATCATTTTGTATTCCCTCATTTAACGTTGACTATGTCTATTCACCCTGTGATTCTTTTCCCCTTGTGCTTTATTTACCTGTTCACACTGTTTTATGCCAATAAAGGTTTACCACATACCTAATAATAAAATAGTAGCATTTATCTAAGATTAGAGGCTCTTTGGCCTTTCAGAGGTTGTTGGACCTCAATTCTCAACAACGTGCAATATTGCCTACGCTAGCTATGATTGATTAAAGTGACAGACTGGTGCAGTTATATTCATCATGATCACATTTGCCACAGAAATTTCTGGGCACGTGCCTTATCTTTCTGTGGTGCAGAAACATGACAAAGCATCCTGTTTATAGCCTTGAACAAGCAGAGCTTTTAATTCCCTTCTTGAAGCTCAGGGAGGGAAGTGAACATAGGACAGTACTGTAGTTTTGGTGGCAGTGTGCCTTGCCTTGGGCCATAGCACAGGAAAGAACGGCCTGCAAGGTATTATTGCCCTGTTTTCCTGAACATAAGACCTAACCTGAAAATAAGCCCTAGTATGATTTTTCAGGATGCTCTACCCCACAAATAAGCCCCAGTTAAGTGAATCCCCACCCTCCACCCTTGTGCAGCAACCAGAAGATAATGACATGACTGTATTTGAATAAATGTAGATGGTTCGACATGAAAAAAATAAAACATCCCCTGAAAATAAGCCCTAATGCGTTTTTGGGAGCAAACATTAATGTAAGACTCTGTCTTATTGGGGGTGGGGGGACACAGTATTGCTGTTATTTCTCCTGTGAATGAACCATTGCACTTTCTGCCTTCTGCACCTCTTTTTCTAGAACTCTCGTAGGATCTTTTCATGGGATCACAGAGACCTACTTTCCTTACAGGAAGATTTGGAACACAAGTGTACACATGCTTACCTGAAAACAAACATTTGCTCATTGAGACAAACTTTTGTCTGCATCCAGTGAGATTCTGTTCCTGCAAATTTATTATGCTTTACACAGATTCATTGGCTCTTTGATGTTTTCTTACTTGTCCTGCACATTTTTATTTCGTTGACTATAGATGCTTCTTTATTGCTAGTCTGTAGAAAGGCAGGCTACTACTCTGAGTAAAAGAGCGTCTTCCTGGCCAGAATCCCTGTTGGATTTTATTGTGCACATACGTGCAATTCTGCCGGTGTTCTTTTACAGGCTCTCCTTGAGGGGTGTGGACCTGGCCGAGCATGTGTCAGGCAACTCCAAAAATAGCGCACAGTACTTGCTCCCCTGCCCTTTTGCGCTCAGTGACCCCAGCAGAAGCGCTCAAATTTATTTACCTCAGCGTTGCCTCCAACAATTCTGGATGAAACCGCTCCAGCGCCAAGGAAAAATGCACCAGGCAGCTGTATTTCTTTTGCTACTGTGTTCAGGTCATAAACCTAAAGAAAGACACATTCAATGATTTATCATTCCCATCTTTTGTCCTTGGCGCATCTTCATTCCATGCCTAGGACGTCCCCGGGAGAAAGCAATCCAGCCACTTTACAGAAACCAAGTAGATCTAGGTCTGGCCAATACTGAGATGGGAGACCCATCCACCCCATGGAGGCCTAACATACCTTTTTTCAAATGATACTATCACATACTTGGTACAGTGGGGGATGGGATTGCAGTGGCAGGCTTTATCTTGGCACACACACACGTTCAGCTGATCGCAGGAACCCTACAATCCTAATGCCTTGTTAGGGATTGTCCTTCACAGGGACTGAGGCCCAAAATCAACACATGCACAAGTTATGCAGCAAACCCACCAGGAAAAGCTACTTTCTTGAATGTCATTCCCGTAATCCCCTCTGCCAGGATGGCCATGCTGGGGGGGAGGGAGAATTCTAGAAGTTGTGATCCAAAAAAGTCAACTTCCCAGTCTCTGGCATACATGTATACATATCCAAGAGGGTGCTTGCACAGGCTGAGTCCCCTGCTCCTTCCCCCCCCCCCACCTCAGTCCCCAGGCAGTCCTGAAAGCTATTTCTGGGGGTGGTGGTGGTTGGAAGACATTCAGGGAAGGCCTCTGAGGTGGAACTACAAAATATGGTGGGCAAACTCCATGTTTATCATTTACAACCCCTCTTCTCAGTGTAGCTTCCTACCCTATATCCTAAGCCTCCCCCTGAGGGCTGAAGTACTCTCAGGGAAGGCTTTTTAGCAACACAGAGGGAACAGGGTGGGCTACCTCCTTACGTGTGAGCACCACGTCAGGTAGAACTAGAATTTGAAATAGTTTCTTTCCATTCCTGGAACTCCCCAGCCCATGGTGGCTGCAGCAGTCTGGGAGTTATAGTCCTAACTAACTTTTCCAAGCGCTGACTGGATGCATCTATTATGTTCAGAGGACCTTCAGGTGAAGGGCTACAGCTCAACAGCCCAATGAATGCTTTGCAGGCAGACATTTCCAGGGTCAAGCCTCAGCATCGCTTGGTAAGGCTAGGAAAGAGTCCTGCCTGAATCTCTGCAGGGATGCTGCTGGTCAAAGTTGATGGCATTGGCCTTGACCACAGATTGCCAACCTTGGGTCCTCAGGTGTTCTTGGGCTGCAATTCCCATAAGCCTTCACCACTTGGTGTGCTGGCCAGGATTTCTGGGAGTTGTAGTCCCAAGAACATGTGGGGACCCAAGGTTGGGAAATGATGACCTAGATCAGCCGCCCCCAACCTTTTTAGCCCCGCGGACCGGCTGGGGAAGGGTGGGCACCCCCCTGCGCTCATGCACATGTGCGAAGGAGCACTCTCTTGCGTGGGCGCATGTGCAAAGGGTCTCATGCGCATGTGCGAAGGACCGCTATCTCTCTTGCGTGGGCGCATGTGCAAAGGGTAGTGCAGTGCTTGTGCGAGTGCGCATAATATGCACAAGGGTCATACGACTGAGATCCTTAGAGCAGCCCCATTTGCATAATATGCACAAGGGTCATACCTACGACTGAGATCCTTAGAGCAGCCCCATTATTCAAGGGGACAGAAACTGAAATGTCAAGAAGGGCCTATTTGCAAAAATAAGACACCAACAAGCAAAGAAACATCAAGAAAAAGAAGGAAACCAGAGATCAGGTCTGAAGTAGCTGCAGACCCTGCTTGTGTGTGAACCCAAATGCACATGCAATCCTCCTTTTAAAATAACAGCAGCAAACAATTTGAAGAAAACAGACAAAAGCTGGTGAATGAAAGAATGCATAGCATTTTGAAGGCTGCAGAACACCACCTTCGAAAAGTTTAAAGAATGCAGGAGAACCGCAGCACAGATGCGTTAACCAAAGATTTCAAGCGTTCACCTTATCTTTTTGTACGAGGGGCACAAGGTACGGAACACCCCCCACATCTGCAATTCTAGGCTTGCCACAAATACCTGTAAGAAAAACAAAACATTGGAAGGAACAGTTTTTTAAGAGCATAGACCCATTTCACAGCATTGACTGTAAACACGAAGTTGTCTTTTGGTCTTTTTTTTCTTTAAATAGTTCAAGTACTGTAGCATTCAAACTTGATAATCTCTAGGACATCACTGTTTGCTGTGGAATCTCTTTATATTTGTCATGGACTTATATAGCATGCAGCAATGGATTCTGGGATGTGGGGGAGATACACAGTCTGGGTATACCCTTTCATGATTCTGGACTGCAGTTTCCAGAAATCTCCTCACTTGTAGGTTTTGAGACCCACAGAAGGACTTCTGAGTTATATACCTGCATCACCAACTTGCTTCCTGTGGCTGATTTGTTAAAAAAAACTGCCATGGTGCTTCTGGGATTTGTAGTCTCGCTGCCCATTAGACTCTGTCTCAAAGAACTACAACTCCCAGAAAGCACTGTGACAGTTTTTTTTTAAATCAAACCAACAACAGGAAGCAAAGAGAAGCTGATGATGCAGGTAATCGACTCAAAAGCCCTTCTTTGCAGGAGCCAAAACTTACAGATGTGCAGCTTTGCGTTTGGGGCTGCAAATTGAAAATTCTGGGAATGGCAGTTCAAAAATAGAGAAAGTGCACCCCTCAAAACACAGTTTCATACTGCACAGTTGCATAGTACAAGAAAACTTCCACAGTAGCGTGAAAGAGTCTTTTCAAAGATTTTCCCACAATTATTGATCTTCTGACTAGCTAAGTGGTCTTTCAAGAATAGTTTAAAATCTATTATTTCTTTCACATCCGTATGAAAAACAAGAAGTACTTTCAACAATATACACCAGATATATGGGGAATTAGATGTCATTTCCGTGGGTTGTTCTACAGGTGAGACATAGAAACCTTGACCCTTCAGAAGACCCATAGAGAATGTTATCCTCCCTTATACTCTGCTCACTGTTGACTCCAGCTGTGGCCTCCAATTATCTTTACTTCTGGGTCAACAACCCGTAATAGGAGAATGACTCCTATTCCTGTTCGAAGGACATTGTTTCTGAATCCACAGAGGACAAAAGGGAAGAAAACAAACTGAATTACATTCCCAACTGTGTCTGCACTGATTAAAAATAAATATCACATGCATGTATTAGCTGATTTAGCGCAGTGCCGTATGTTGTTCCTCATTCTGGAGAAAACAAGGAAGAAGTCAAGACACTTAAGGTTGAATCTTCGGGTCTGCCAGGTTTCCACACTGGTCTTCATTTAGTGTCCACAGACACTACAGCTTTCAACATCCATGATTGTTCACTATGTTGGGAGAGTTGTAGTCCAACACATCTGAAGGTCCCAGACAGAAGAGTACTGACACATACAATTCACTGCCATAAGATACGGTGATGAGTACCAGCTTAGAACAACGAAAAGGGGAACCAAGTCCAAGGTTTTGAAATGCCTTTGCTGCATCATTAAAAAGTTATAAGTAAAAATCCAAGTCCTCCAAAGCAAAGATGGTCTATAAACTTGGAGTTCAAGCACATGTCCAAATGTTGGCAAGAGAGAATGCCCTAAGCATGATATAGATATTGCAACAGCCTCATTTGACAGTTCCAACATGGAAAAGATTGACTTGACTTCCTTGCGGGTTTGCTAGTCATTTTGCATTTCCAGAGGTGTTGGGCATGCAATTAGGGGATAGCTGATAAAGGAATAATCACCTACAAGATAGATGTTAATAAGCTTGGGGAAAAAACTTAATGATTTGAATAATCAGGGAGCCTAAGATGGTTGATGCAGAAGCTCAGTAAGGACTGAATATGCTCAGTGGCCCCTGAATGCTAGCCAACTCTTGGAGAGGAGGAAAACTAGGAAACCGCATGTCCTGGGAAACGGTATGGCTGGGTAGCATGCTGTACAGGAGCAACCAACCTACAGTATATTACATTTGGCTGCACATCTTCCTTATTACCTTTAGCAGGAAACTTGAAAGGTTCTTGTGTCAGATCAGGGCAGTCCACCACAGAAACTTGGACATCTGCAAAGTTTTCCTTCAATCCATTTTCCAGAACTAGAAAAGGAAAGTGAATTAATTGATTAAAAATAATTACAACACAATAGGCAACCATGTGAGGAGAGTATCCAAAACAGCTTATGTGAAAAGACGGGGTTTGACTGAATTTCTGAAAGTGAATACAAAATGTGAATGCATTTAAAAAGTGAATGCAATGTGTTAGATCAGTGGTCCCCAACCTTGGGCCTCCAGATGTTCTTGGATTTCAACTCCCAGAAATCCTGGCCAGCAGAGGTGGCGGTGAAGACTTCTGTGAGTTGTAGTTCAAGAACATCTGGAGGCCCAAGGTTGGGTACCACT